GAGAGGGGCTTGAGAAGACCTTTGAGTGCTCTCTAGACATGGTAGGGGAAGTCACATCCCAGGACATTTAGAATCCAGGAGAGATACACAGAGACAGGGAAGAGGTCACTGGCTGCCGATCCCTCTGCCTTATGTCATGCAGACCTGGACTGCAGCCAAGAGATAGATTATATTGGATTACATTTTTATATTATAGTCCAGAATTTCAAAAAGATAATGAAAAACCTGTAAATGTGAAGTATGTTTAACCATCTTCTGTAAAAAATGTGAATGGGGAGTTTCTTTATTCTTGTTATCCTAGGGGAGGATTACAGTCACTGAATGATCTTAGGAGACAGTAGGCAACAACACCAAAAGGTCGTGTTTGCAAGTTGGAAAGGCATCCATTTCTTCTGCAGAAATTAATGCAAAAAACTATGTACATCTTGCTGTGCAAAACTATGTATTTTTTCTTCAAAATGAATATTATGTTTCCCTAATGCAGAGCTTTGAAACCTACTTTTGAAAAGTAATTCATTTCCATTACTTACTGTAGAGTGTGAAAAAGGATGTCATCATTATTACCAATTACAATATTGGAAAGTAAATGGTTGCATTATTCATAGTGTTATTCATTGTTTTTTTCATTACAGGAAAGGAATGTTGTAATTGGTTAAAGGATGGCACAACACTTGACAATTTTTTACTTAAAACTCCTCTAAAATGCTAAATGATGCCCTTATAAAATAATTTGGATGACTGACTAGGAAAATATTACTTGTATTTTTTTAAAAAAAGAATTGTTTTGAAACATGAGGTAGAATCATGTTGTGCAACTTTGCACGACACAGCACTGATGACATCATCAGCTGTAGCTGTTTGGGAAGGAATTAAAAGTCTCCATAACATTTCTGTAACATTTCACATTTTTTCTGAAACTTATATTTGAACTCATAAGCAAGTTCAAACATGTTTATGAATAATCTGGCCTTTCTTACCAGATTACTCATAAACATGTTAAAATTTACCCATAAGCTCAAACATAGGTTGCAGGAAAAAAATGTGATGTCATAGAAATCCTCCTCTCCCCCTCCCCCACTGCTTACACATGCACACACTAAAGGCTCTGGAGCTCCCTAGGGATTCTCTTCATCCCAGGAAGACTTTGGAAACTGCAGGATGGAGAATACCTTAATCCTTGAAAATCATTGGTACCAGAGGTGGGATTGATTGTGCTGGTGGTGATTTTCAGTCGTTAAAGAGTTCCTCTCCTCCATCCTGCAGCTCCAAAAATCCTCCTAGGGATCCCTTTCATCCTGGGAAAAATTTGGAGAGTTGCAGGATGTGGGGGGGGGGGTTTCTTTAATATCCAAAAATAACCACCAGCCTCAGTATTTGGGGTTGGGGGGGATCAGGAACTTTTAATTTCCCCCAAAATAGCTGTGGCTGATATCATCAGTACTGTGCAGTGTAAAGTTGTGCAACAGGATTCCAACTGTTACATTCCTTTTGAAATAAAACTTCACTTCATCTCCGTTGTTAAAACAAAGCCAGTCATTACAGGGCACGGCATTACTTCACAAAGTCTCCTTAGTTCTAGTCTATCCATACCACACTGGGTACTCAGCACCATTACTACCCATTTAAAAAAAAAATGTACAAAGAACAATACAAGGAACTGTAGAAGGGCAGGGCTGAAGAAAAAAGGTAACAGAACACTGCATCCTGTTGGCCTGTTCTCCTCCCACCCAGCTCATGTTCCCTCAAGGATCCACAGCAGAAGGCAAGGAGGGGCAGGGGACGTGGCGTCAGCCAGCCCTTGAACCATATCCTATTCTTCCTTTCCCTTTTGTGAGGCCACAGCCCCATAACTATTTAAATAGCGAGTAAGTTGCCATTATATGACAAAACGAGTGATGTTACCCTTCAGTAAGTTACAACTGTAATCTCGCTATGCCTTGACTCCTGAAAAAAATGGCTCACTTTCTCTTTCCGCCTCATAACAAGCAGTTGCTTCCAAGAGCTCTCCATGGAGTGTCTGTGGCCTGCAGGACGGTGGCTCTCCGTCCCAACACTGTCAGTTTGTCAAAGTGAAGTCAATTTTTTTAATGTCAATGAACTTGCCATCACACGTTTGTTCGCCTCTAAGGTGCCTGAAGGCTCTTCTGTGTGTGCTTAGAAAACCCAGGGTCCCTAGATATCTCAGCAAGTTCTTTGACCAAAGGCTCCAATATATTCAGATAAAGAGATGCCAGGCAAATCAGAATGCATTCATTGCCCCCGTTCCTATTTTGTTTCCTTGCAGAATTGGAATTTTCATCTTCTGATTTATTCATCAGCAGCCATGGTTGCTGCTGCCACCAGTGTTTCATCTTTTCATGCATTCCTAAGACATGACCTTGCCTTTTAAAAAGAACACCTGCAGGTTCCATGACCTTCTATTTGTCTTACTTTTCCCATCTCTGTAATCCCCTTTTTTGTAAGCTTTTTTTTGTTTAAAAAAATGCATTGTGCTATCTTCTTTTTCTCTTTCAGCAAGTACAGCAGAAGTTAAGACAAGAAACCCCACATGGCTGTAGCATTTGTGGAGAGAATATAATTGAACTGGAAGGGAGGGTATCTCTGGACGTGTTCGGGTACATTTGTGCCTTGTGGTGTGAAACATGACATGTTTTATGCTTCTCCTCCATCACCTTTGCAGTGGTGCTTTATGCCCTCTAGTGGATTGTCAGGCTATTACAGCACATTGTTTTTTTCTCCTCTTTTCAGCCTTTATTTCTTCTTTGATAAATTGGATTCAAGCCTAACACTTACCCAGCAAAAAGATTTGATTTTTTTTTCTTTGCAGCATTCACTGCACCTGGGTGTTTTTTCTTTTTTCTTTTTTAACTTGCTAAGTAACTTGGAAAAAAACATCTTATCCTATGTTTCTAAATAAAGGAATAGGCTACACTGCTTTCAGTGACAATTGGATTTTATTTCAGGCACGGGTGAGAGAGTCTGCATGACTTAAAACAAATCTGCATGGATATATCTGCATCAATAGTGAATTTTAAAAAAAATAGTGAATTTAAATAATGTTTAATGAATATGCATTTTTAAAGGGTGGTATCCTAACCCTCTTGGCTAGCTATAGTTACGGCAAGCATCAGAAATTTCTTCTTGTAACCTCATTGGGCTGCCTGTTTGTTTTGTAATCATGCTTAGTTTGGTTCAGGCCTTTTTTGTTTTCAAGGTGATTCACATTTTTAAGCTAATAGTAACAACTGCAGCAGCCCTGTAAGGCAAGGGAAGGGAGCCCAGCCTGCTCCAGATCTTGTTGGACTTCATCTTGCACCAATCGCAGTGATATTGTCGACCATCAGGGATAACGAGACACTGATTCCCATTCCTACTATAAGGTGTCAGGTTTTTTACCCTTGGTCTGATTGGTCAACTGAGTTTGAGTGGCTTGCCAATCGTTCCCTCATGAACTTACAGCAGAAAGATATAAACCAAGAATGTCCTGATTTATAGCTCAGTCTCTAAGAGCCAGTCCACACTGAGAAATTTGGTGCTATTTGGCTGATGCTTAAAAGGTACTTTTCTTCAGTGCAATCTATTTTAACACTCAGTACACGTCTGTGAACAAAGAGCTGGTTTGCATTTCAATGAATTGTCACAAAAAGATTGCATGCCCTAGCCCTGTTCCAGTTTAGTATGGGACAGCTCTTAAAGGGAAGGATGGATTGTTCTAAGTTGAAACACAAGTAGACGTGTGTTTTTTTCCCCATGCCAAACAGTGCTGTCAAGAAGCCATACTATACTGTATGTCATAACTATATGCCAGTGTGGGCAGACTCTAAGCCACTGTGCTACAGCAGTTCTCAATAACACCAATAGCACCCACTCTGACTGGCAGCAGTTCTCCAGGATCTCAGACAGGATTCTTTAATTGCTACCAGCAGTTTCCTGATCCTTGTAATTGTAGGCAGCTGGGACTGAACCCATGGCCTTCTGCATACAATGCCCATGAACTATCCCTGAGCTATGATCCCAGTATCCAAACTGTCTGAGGATTTCTAACAGCTGTAGCCCTTAAAAAGAACTTATCCAAGTTCTAGCCACAGCTAAGAGAAAGCTTTCAGAACTTCTCAAAGCAGTCATGAAACGTCCCTTGTCCACAGTCTCTGACTCTGGAAGTTCTTTGAGCCCTTGTTTCTAACAATGTGCTCTCTGCTGAAACCTTGTTAGACGCATAGACCCTGTGGCTGCAGATTCCAGAGTCTGGTTATTCCTGATATGAAGGAGGGTTTTCTTTTGGGGTAACTGAGTAAACTGGCAATTAATTTCTTTGGATGATCCACTTTTCGGAGTTATGAGTGAACCATATTTTTGTTTCACAATTCTGTCTTCTTTCAAACCGTGCATAGGTCTTTATCATAGGCCTTTAATCACCATTTCCATCAACTTAAAATCAGATTCCTCCATAGTATTTCTTGGATGATATTCCAACACCTAAATTTCCACCTGCATGAGACACACCACCTGCTATGCTGTTACTGCTGCCCAATGTAGCCCCCCTGAAGAGCTGCTCTTGTGATTTTTCAAATCTTTGGTAACAGTCTAGGTTGTCGTATCTAGTGGAAGCTGAAGCATCTTCAGCTAGGGCAAATCTGTCCTTGATTACTGACCAAAATGGGTTGGTTTGGTTGTTCCCAAAACTGAGACAGGTTTGTCATCATTTTTTTCAAATGGCTTCTAATTCCTTTGCTTTGATTCTTTGGCACAGAACTCTTGTAGATTTTCAAGCAGAACTTCTACATGGATTATTCTGAGGTGTTCTGGTACGAATTTGTCTGCCTTAATTTTTGAGGTCATGAACTTGAGATTCTAGTGGCACTGGCAAGTGATGTGCAGTGCAAGACATTGTTTACAGACAAGAATGAAAGAATGGTGTGACTATTTTAAGTAAAACTCTTAACCTGGGAAATTATAGTTCACTTCTATGAACAGATTTGTTTCCTCTTTTTAAATTCCAGGTATGGTGACATGGTGCCAAAGACAATAGTTGGCAAGATCTTTGGTTCAATTTGTTCCCTCAGTGGGGTCTTGGTCATCGCCCTTCCTGTTCCAGTCATTGTCTCGAACTTCAGCCGCATCTACCACCAGAACCAACGAGCAGATAAGCGCAAGGCCCAAAAGGTATGTTCCCCCTTTTCACTTCCACATGCTGGACTTCTGTACAGTATGTTTATGTGAGTGCCACACACAGAGATATGCCCACTCACACACACAGAGCAAGAGACCATTTCTGAGCATCAGTAAAGATTTATCCCCTGGAAACCAGCGTTCAGGTTTTCCCCAAATAAAAAAGAAGTACTTGTTGGTTGTCTGGCTGGGTTGACAAATAACAAAATTCAAAAACTTGTGTTTGATATCTGTACACAAGTGTCTAAAGCCATGCAAGAGCATGTTCCTTGGATTGAAAGTTTCCAGGAACAGAACTTTTCTCACAGGATGTTCCCACTAGAAGGGAAGGAGGTTATATTTCCTAATCCCTTATTCGCCTTGAAGCCTCCCACATCTGTCCTAGAAAACCAGAAGATGGCTGCAAAGGAGGAAGTATTCATGTACATTACATTTCTTCTAGTGAAATGGTTCCCAATCTTTGGTTCCCAGATGTTTTTGGACTAAAACTCCCAGAAGCCTTCACCTATAGCTGTACTAGCCAGGATTGCTAGGAGGTATGTTCCAAGAACATCTGGGGACCCAAGGTTGGAAGTCACTGGCCTGGAGGGAGTTTCTACTGGATTGTGGGCCCTTCATAGATATAAGGCATCATTCCATTTGCGGAAACACAAACTCTGAATTCAACCCTGTGCCTAGTCATAGTTGAAGACGCGTGTTATACTGTGTCAGGTTTGTCAGCTATTTAAAGATACCAGTATAAATATAAAAATGTGAAGTAATGAGAAAATATGCTTTTTGTTGATTTGAAATGAATTTTTAAAACAAATTTTGTAATACTATTATTAATATTTCAAGAACTCCAAATGTAATTTGGGGTGGTTAAAACTAAAATTAATACTGTCTATATACTTATATGTATGTGAGGAAAACAGCATTGAAATGAGCAGGACTTTGTTCTGAATAAACATGCATAGGATCAGGACTACAGATGGGGATATTTGTATATTAATACAAATGCCCCTGCACAGGTGGACATAATGAAGGTCCATTGTCAGCCTGGCAGGGAGCACAAAGCTGGCTGTAGCAGCAGACGGCTGAGTGGACAGTCCGACCGCAGGGGGTGAGACCCTCGTTATGTCCACCTTTGCGAGGGTATTCGTGTACAAATACAAATACCCCCATCTCTAATCAGGACCAAACTATGAGTTGAAGTGCACAACTCTGATTGAAATCTTGCTGGTATTCCAGAGATTCTTGCAGACTTTCGTGTCTGAGAAATCAAACTTTCCAATAAAGTTTGTGTTTATATCAAGAAGTTCAGTAACTAAAACAAAGGAAGCTAATTTGCAAACTATGAGAGGAGTTCTCTCTTCTCATGATATTGTCTCTGAAATGTATAGGTTGAACTTCAGGCTGCATATGACATAGATGCCAGCTTAAGTTATTTGCTGAATAAGTCCTGCAGTTCTAGAGACAGCATAGTGGCCAAAATCCTACTATGTCCTTACATATGAGGAAAGCAAACAATGTAACGCACACCAGCTTCTCACTGCTAATTGACAATCTCTGGCTAGAATTTGAGTGTGAACCAGTCTATTTTCAGGTAGATTGGCACCTACCTGAAAATACATAAAAGAATGGATATTTGGCACAAAGAAGCCATGGCAAGTTACACTGTTCACCTTCTGGAGGCATAACTACACAATAGATTTTCTTCAGCCAATGTATTCCAGAAGGAAGTCTTCTACTGCTGCTAATCAAAATGCCTTGGGCTCCTATTTTGGATTTTCCTCCTTAACCATGTTTTTCTGGTAAGAAAATGGAGGGAAAAATTGTGAGAAAATATGGGAGAATTACAAATGAAAGTGATAATCTTGTTTGAGGCAAGGTAACTGTAGGTTAAAAGGATGTGGTGGCGCTGCAGGCTAAACCGCGGAAGCCTGTGCTGCAGGGGCAGAAGACCAGCAGTTGAAAGATCGAATCCACGTGACGGAGTGAGCTCCCATCGCTTGTCCCAGCTCCCGCCAACCTAGCGGTTCAAAAGCATGCAAATGCGAGTAGATAAATAGGGACCACCTCGGTGGGAAGGTAACAGCATTCCGTGTCTAAGTCGCACTGGCCATGTGACCACGGAAGATTGTCTTTGGACAAAATGCTGGCTCTATGGCTTGGAAACGGGGATGAGCACCGCCCCCTAGATTCGACCACGACTGGACAAAAATTGTCAAGGGGAACCTTTACCTTTACCTTTACCTTTACCTAACTGTAGGTTAAAATTGTCATTTGGAAGCACCAAACACACACACACAAAAACACACAATGTTCCTTTTTTTCTTATCCTTACTTTCTATCTATGCATTTGCCTATTCGTGGAACTTTTTCAAACATGTAATCTTTGCATAAGCAAGGGATTACAGCTGAAATGTGCTTCATAGTCAGCAAAAATCAATTTCACTGCAAATGGCCACAGGAAACTTTAATTAACAACCCACCTAAACTTGAGCTCCCAGGAGAACTCTCAAGGGATGGCTCTAATAAAATGTGCAGAGACTAATAAGTTAAATAAAAAAAAAGATGATTTATTTTATTATTAAACGAGGCCCTTGACAGTATTACGAAACTTAAAAATCTACATTTCTGTTGCTTTAATTTATTAGTCTTTTTAAAAAAATTCTTAATAACTGTGGAAGTGGTTTAACTCATTTTTAACCAAGGGAGAATATAAGTAAATATATTATACACCCCTTTATACATTTTATATGAAAAGTGCAGTCTGTTAATTATAAAAACAAATCACATCATTTTTATTTAAATGATCCTCAGTATTTGAAGAATGACTAGAGTACCCATGAAGAGTCATGAAATACAGAGGGCATAGTATGAGTAATCTATATATCCAAAGAAATGAATTTTTAACCAGTGAAGGTCAGACAGAAACAAGGTTGTTATACTTTAGAGCAGCACAATAGTTTCTCCTTAGTTTTCCCTCTCCCCACCCCACTCCTCTTTAATTTTGCTAACATGCTGCAACAGGCTAACAGACTTATTTGGAAACCACCCTCATGGTCACCACAACATCAGCAGGCATCTCCTGCCTGGAGGTAAGGGCCATGTGTCTTTCCTACCCAGAAGCACATCAGAGCTCAATGCACATATGCAACTTAGGTAGAGGACAGCAGCACAGTAGTAACATCTAAGACTGGCATATTCCTGCCTCGAGCAGTGGAATAGCTTAGCCTGTACCTGGGTGAATTACACTTCCCAGATGCTTCTGGGACTGCAGTTCTCCTCCGCAAGATGCTCGGTCCTACAGGAGTTTACTTTTGCGCACTGTATCTTCTCACTCTTTGTTGCTTCCACACTCCCAACTATTACTCCCTCAGCAGAATCTGGGGAAATACTGAGCCAACTGCATTTGCCTACCTGTTCCTGATTTATAATTTGTAGATTCAATGGCTGAAATCCTGTTAGTATGCTGACTTTAACTTAAGCAGACCCCTTGAATCAGTAAGGATTTTTTTTTGTGAATCAGTTCCTCTGTAGGTTCCATTGATTAAAATAAGCCTATTCTAGTTGGGATGTACAACTCTAAAGTGAGTCACAATTAGAGTAGGCTCACTGAATCAATTGAACTTACAGAATCCTCATTTAGTCAATGGGCCTACTTTATGTCAAGCAACATTGGATTTGAGCCAATGTGTACTAGGTGAGATCAAATTTATTATTGCATTTTAAAATGAAACCTGATATGAAATAAGGAAACACGGCCGTAGAAAGCAGATTGTGGTGAGAATAACATTTTCCTATTTCCAAATTCCAGTTATATTTTTTTTAAAGAATTGAGTGAGACAGAAGTGTCATTTGTCTTTTTCACCTGAGGGAGAAAATGCGAGAAGCCAGCACTGAAATAGATTGTATTTTTACCAACAAAGAGCATAGGACTGGCAAGAGAGTTTCAATGGTAGATAGACATTTATATTTAATACACAGATCTAATTTCCAAATGGAGGGTCAGCACCATACAGTAGCAAAAGAGGCATATCCCAATGAGGCTGTTGTACAAGTAGAGATAATGTTAGTTTTCAGAAAGTTCCACTGGCCATTGTTTAGAAGAATCTAAGGTTCTGTCCACATTGACCCATAGATTTGATATGTGGATCACTGATAGCACAATTTGGATCAGAAAAAGAGGCCACATTCACTTATGTTTCTACTTAGAATGGTTTGTCTGTCCCCTTTAAGAGTTGTCCCACACCTTTCTGACACAGGGCTAGAGCATGCATTCTTTTTTCCTTGAATTGGGGCCCAGCAGGCTTGGGGGAGGGCAAGTGAGGAAGAGGAGCCCAGGAGGCTGGCTGAGACAAATGAAAGCTCCACGTAGACCATTCCCTCCAAGGCAAATGCTATGCACAGGCTTGCCACGGCGTGGTGGCTGCACTGTGCCCTGAAGGCTGGTGTCACCTCTGAAGCTCCAGAAATCACCTTAGCAGTGGCAGGAGCAGCAGCAATAGCGATCACTTGGGAAGCAGACAAGCACAGCTGACAGACTGCTGTGAGGTTGAGAGCCCCTCCGACCGTCATGCCACAACCAGTTTTCCACTTGCATTGATCAGCTGTGGAGCAGATGGGAACAGCTGAGAGGCAAGAATAACTGAATGAGAGGCAGGGGTACTTCTCCAACACTGTGGCCAGCTTCTCGCCCTCATTGATTGATTGGCTGGGAAGTAGAGAGGAGTCACAGAGAGGCAGTGAGCCACTCCGACACCATGGCCAGCTTTCCGTGAGCCTCAAGGCTCCAGTGTGTTTGGAAGGATCACTTAAAAGAGAGTTTTAAATAGATTGCACCTTTTAAATACAGACATGATTGCCCCAAATTTTACAGTGTGGACTCTAAGAGAATCTTAATCTTAGGTACTCTACCTTTCTTCCTGAGATTGCAAGACCATCAGCTGCCTTTAGACAGCATCAGCATTCTACTGATCAAGGGAAGAAATGGAAAATATCACAGCAAAGAGAAATGACTTGCTACAGCTATACTTGCATTCTTTGTTTTGTTCTGAGTGGTTTTCTCCCTCCCCTTCAAGTTTCCATTACACACACAAAAAGAAAAGTCCTCTACATTGGTGAAATCAATGCCCAAGCCCCTTCAGTGCACCTGACAAAACACTCAGGTGGCAGATGCTAATGGAAAAAATACAGTTCTTTTCATCCTCTGATGACATACAGAAACCATCCGTTCTCCACCTGGCACCTCTCGGGGACTAAACATATTAAATCGCCCCAGTGAATTCTGTCAAAAGCTGCTGAATATGAGCAGTAACTGATAAGTTCAATTTTGGCAGCCTGTTCTATGATTAGTAGTGTGGTTGTAGCATAAGAAAAAAATGACAGGAGTAATTTCAAGAGCAACTAAGTGATATTTACTAGGCCTGCATTTGCCTGGAACACTGCTTAGAAAAGAGGGAATTGCCCACAGACTGCATCTGCTGTTAATGTCGCCTTGGAAAGATTTAATATTGCTTGGGACTCTCGTCAGAAGGCACTGGAGAGCATACTAGAAAACATACTATTCTCTCTCCCGCTTTGATTTTATATAGACTTTTTCTCTATATAAGTGTATATTCAATAATTTTCAAGAGGTAGCTATGTTAGTCATAGCTTTTTTTTCAATGACAGTAACAGAGTCTTAAAGAGAAACGTGTTTTGCTGGGCATTAGCTATCATAAACTATAGGCTACTTTTTCAGATTAATCCCAACCTATACTTAGACATCCCAACATAGGGATCTCCTGGCATTTTGGACTGTAATTCCCATGATATCGATTGACTTAGTCATTGAGTCCAACTTGACTTTCTACCTGCCCCCCGGTGCCCCCACCAGCCAAGCCACCTAAATAGAGCAATCCAGAACCAACCAATATGGGTATGAAAGACTGTTAAGAAATAGGGAATGTGATGTGTGCTTCTATCATGAAACTGAAGGCAGCTTCTCTTAGAAATGAATTCTGTTAATGTCATGAATTTCATGCATATGATTCAAGAAGACTAGTTGTACTTTTAACTATTCCTTTTGTTCTCTGTCTCACAGTTTGGAAGGCTTTCCTGAACATTTGATGAGATCATTCTTTATTTAAAAACAACAAATACCCCTAATTTCAAAACTTCAGGCCAGGTTACTCCAACTTGCTTTGTCAGTAGACATGGACTGACATCTAGGAAACATTCTTCTATATTTCTGGTATCAAAAGATTGTGGTTTAAGCTTGAGAACAAGTTCAGAATAGCTTCATCCTGTGCCAGGTTTTTGCCATCAAGCCAACTAAAGAGAGGTACAACTTCTCACATTCCAGGAAGCCAAAAGAAGGTTTTATTTGATTCTAAGAAAATTGTCACCTTCTAACAGAGCTTGTAATCTTTAATGTTGACTTCCTGCTGTTCAATTTACACTTCTTAGAACTGGAGCCGACTTTTTTTTTACTTCAAACTTTCTGCAGTCTTCTTTGTTCACTGCTTCATTATCCTCCACTTTAAGAACAGTCTTGCTCATAAGCTATGCCAGCAAAAGAGGGTGGCAAATAACCGCCCAAAAATTGCATTCCTACCATGTTGATATCAGAATTATTGAATGAACCATATACTGTAAACCATAAACCTGTTGCTGTTAAGAAAGACTCCGATAAGCAGCTTCTACAAATTGTACCCCAGAGCTTAGAAATATTACTTTTTTGATGACAACCCCCAGAAACCAGCTTGGTTGCCTGTTCCATGGCCCATCACACAAATGGCTCTGTGGCCAATGTCACAAGAGCACATTCCACACATGCAGATCTGATAGCTGTTCTGCAGTTGTGTAACACAAGAGGATAATACACAGTCATCCCACACCATTCACATCTTGCCTGGGACTATTGTACCACTGAGCACATAGTTATGAAATCTCTACTGCCATCATATACCAATTGTTCTGCTGCTTAGCATTTTCTGAGGGAATTAGAGTGTTCTAACGCATGTGTGGACCACAGCATGACTCCCCAAAACTTGTAGTATATCCCAGTTTAGAAAGTAAGTGCATTTCAAACATGTGTTTACCAAGGAGATGGCATCAGACGGTTCAAGAGTGTGGCCAGTAGAGAAGGCAAATGATAGTACAACAGAATACATAGGGAGAGAAATGTCACTAATTCTAGAGCTGTGTTGCAACTGCCAGCTTTATGGTGCAATCAAATTCTGTCCATTTTTCATCTTGTCTGCCTTTTCACTACTCCATTTCCAAAAAATCTGGTGAGCAACCTGGTAGACCCTCCCCCCCTCCGCTGCTCTGCCCCCCATCGCCCTAATGATAGCTTTTAACAATCTTGCACTAGTATAGATGAGTACTGTGATGTACACAAAGGCAATCGTACTGTCCTTCCATCAATTTAACTCCAGAGTGAGAAGACCAAAAGCCTTCTTCTTGGTGGCCACCAATTAAACATGACTGCAAGCCTCTCTGTCCCATAGGAAACACCTCCCACTGCCACTACTGTTCCCAAACTGTACAATTATTCAACAAAACATACAAGTCCCCTTTTCAAGTAGTGCAGGAAATAAAACGGCATTTCAGCTCATCTAACAAGATGTGACTCTCTCATTACAGAATCCTTTTGTCAATCAAGGATTGGCACTTGTTTGGATTAAATTATTTGTAGAAAACCTGAGAAGAAAGTCAGAACTTAAGTGCTACCCACCCATATGCTTTAGGCCATGGTTTCTCGAAAACTGGATTGGAACCTTTATCCTTAGAACAATGGCATGTGAACGTATTTTGTATAAAGTAAATGTTGTTCCACTGCATATCTAAGGTGAAAATGACTACAGTTCCTTGATAAAGGCAGCTTAAAATAGACTTTTCGAACCCAAATATTTTAATCTGAATTCTTCAGTATTTCTGGAATATATCCCAAGAAGGTAACATAAACAAGGCCACACAGTGTGCTACTTTCATGTCAGAATTTCCAGCATAAAATGGGGAACCACTGTTTTAGATCTCATTGTGTTATGCAGATGTTCTTCTACAAATCAAATTGTTCTGGGCAATTATGTGTGGCACTTCACAGCAATCAAACAACTACACTTTTTTTTTCATCTATTGTCCTTTTCTCTCAAGGAACCTTTCATGAAAGAGTCAGAAACAGTGTAATTATAGTGCGATGAAAGCAATGTTCCTGACCTTGCTGTAGAAGCAGCAGCATGATCACATTGACAGGAGAAATGAGAATGCAACATGTCTAATGTGAAAATATGTGTAAAATCACAGACTCAAACACCATTCATTGTTCTTCTTGGCTGATACCTGCTGAGAAGTGAATGGTTCTCACTCATTTGCATTATAAATGTGAAAACATTGCACCTGAAAGTCCAGGCGAAAGAATCACATCACATCTCTAATTAGGGAGCTTGCTATTCACAGCGATGTATTTTCTATTAGCGGTATGAGCTTTCTTTGAGAGCTGAATGATGGGCACAAAAGCAAGAGAGACTTCTTTCATTCTTCTCCCTCCAACGCAGAAAGCCCGGCTTGCTCGGATCCATGCGGCCAAGAGTGGGACTGCAAATGCCTACATGCAGAGCAAACGGAATGGCTTACTCAGTAACCAGCTGCAGGAGGTAAGGGTCATGTGTCTTCCCTATCCAGAAATACCCCAGAATCCTAGGACACCAGTGATTTGTGTTCAGAAGAAGCCAATAAGTCTCCAGACCTACTGTGATACATTTACCTTAGGCTGCAGGTGGAATCATTGTCTTTCACAGGGGCCTGACTGTGAATGAGAGGTCAATGCAAAAAAAAAATGTTTTTTCTTGGGATCTGGTCAGATCCTTGAACACAAGCAAGTCTGTCAGGGATTCTACAGGAGAAGAGGAGGGCTGGGTCTTCCATTCAGTTCAATAAGACCATTATCTTGGGTGGTTGGAGTTCTGGAGGAAGCAAATATGCCACTCTCCCTACAAGTTCCTGTTGCTTAATGGAGCTGAATTGCTTCTGAGCAGCTATTAAAGCCAGTTCCTGCTGGCTGCTGCTATCTCTGCTCCAGCTCTTTGGCATGGAGATAAGTATCTGGCTCTCCTACAAAAAGAATGGGGCACAGAGCACCACCTCCTCTTCACACATGCATGCAGGTAGGGGCACAGGTGGCATTGCAGCCACGAGCTTCTTCCTTTTGCCGACACATGGCAGGCACAGTCAACAGTGGGTCGTGTCTCATCTTTAGTTTTAGACAGCAGTTGCTGCATCCTGTTTCTCTGGCTTGGTCCTTCTCTCAGACAGCAATTGCTGACTGAAGCTCCAAAGCAGGAGCCACACACAAAATTGCATAATTCAACCAGCAGTAAAGAAGAACATATTCTAAGGAACAAAGCTGAAGTCAGAAGCGTGCAGGTTTCATAGACAAGGCCGATAAGGTTGATGTAAAGGTGCAGTCCAGGAACAAAATTTGCAACAGATAAAAGTCCTCCTAATAATATCAAGTCAGGTCACGTGCAGGAAGCGGAAGAAAGTTGGTTGCTAATTCACAGTCAGGTATCAGCAGAGTCCAGGAACATCCATTATATGCAGGATCAAGATAACAGAACAAATATTTAGGCAAAGGTTTTATACAGGTGCTGCCAGCTCCATCTGTACCACTGCCATATCCTTTCAGTGGTTGCCACTGCTGAAGTTCCTTACTGCCAATGAGCTTTCTACTGTAGGCTTGTACTCCTGCTGGATAGCTCAGTGGCTTAGGTCTCTGGTTGGGAGTTTGATTCCTCACCGTGCCTCCTTGAGAGGGATTGATGATCTAGAGGGTCCCTTCTAGCTCTGCAGGTCAAAGGTTATTATTATAATTATTAGCAGGACCATTTTGCTCTGCCACTTCCAGCATTCACACTCTTTGGCCTGGGAATATCTCCAATTCAGAGTCTGTTTCTGAGACCTTTCCTCTGGGCGCATGGGTCTTCTGCTTCCCTTCTAGAGAACCATGACTCCCTCTTGACCCTGGTCTCTGGTGGGTACAGCAAAAAGGTTCTGCAAGGTAGTGCAAAGTTCCACTGTCTGATGCTCAGCTGATGAGGACCTCTCTGGTGCATCCATGACAGAGGGGAGTGGAGAGATGCATCCCAGATAAAAGAAGGATGAAACATGAACCAGGCTGTGAACCTTGCAGGAGGTCTTGAGATGCAGGCAACCCAGACGTTTTCCAGCACCTGTCATCAGCTCAGCAAACAGGGGTGGAGTTTATCCAAGAGAAGAAGGAGGAACTCTCCTTTTTTGTCTCTACACTTTCCATCTTTCTCCCTTCTGAATGTTGTAGCATTGTTCCTGCCCTCCAATTGCAGTTCCATGAATTCTTGGTCCTATAATGTAAAACACGTGAATGAGGGCGGTATTAGCACATCAACAGGGGTGGTTGCAGAGGTGGTATCTGAATGTCTGGACTGAGCATCTGCAGTGGCCATCAAGATGGCCCAAGTTCTCAAGAAAAGAGCCCTGGACTAAGGCGAGCGGGACAGTGCATGCATGTGACCGTGACTGCTTTTACAGTTATTACCTGTTGAGGGGAAGTTGGGGGGGAATTGTTGGGGATGGTTTGTTGGACTGACGCATGGGGGCAAGTAATAACATTTTAGAGCTGCTGGCTATTGTACTTCATATTGACCAGAATCCTACTGCATAGTTTTGTCAATATGACACAATGGGCATAATGTAGTAGTGCAATGGTTCCCAATCTTGGGTCCCCAGATGTTCTTGGTCTAAAACCCATAGAAGCCTTCACCACTAGCTTTGCTGGCCAGGATTTCTGGATTCGAGAACATTTGGATTCCCAAGGTTAGAAAGTCACTCTTAGCTTTAATATAGGGTAGGGCTTCAGTACACCATAATCTGACCCTGGTTTGTCCTGCAACATACTTAAGCCCATTGATGCAAACAGAACAAGGATTGATTTGACATGTCCAATATGATGTAATTAATGAAACCATGGCATCACCATAGAGTGGGCTGGTGTATGCAAATTACTCATGCAAATTACTCTTACCTAAATGCTTTGATTTGTTTTGGTCTTAAGATCAAATGTTTTGTCTAAAATGAAGGGGGAAACGAAAGAACCTTAAAGAAAACATTAATAATTGTTGCTGCTTATTGTGTTGGTAATAAAGTACTTCAGTGCAGAAGCAGCTTTTGCTCTCTTTTTTTAAAAAAATACAACCAATGTGTATTTTTTTGACCCAATCCCTAATTTAATGCCCATTTCTTTACAAATAAGAACAATATTTTATGTACCAACAGTTTTGTGGAGAAGAACAAGAGGCCTTTGTTAACAAATCTGGCTCTTCCTTTGAAATCCAGCACCACCACCTGCTTCACTGTCTGGAAAAAACAACGGTAAGTTGATCCACCTGCAGCCTCCTTCTGATCTGCAAAAAATAAATGCACTGTTAGATTACTGCTGTGCCATTGCTCTTAGTTAAGAATTACACTGATGCTGTGCATTTTCATCTCACTCATCAAAACAAATGAAATTATTCACCACCTGAGATACTTCTGGAAATTATTTTGGTGGTGTGGAATTTAGATTGATCTGCGACCCAGCTCTGCTGAGGATATAACTGTGCTTCAGTGATTACTATATCAGTGAAAACAGGGTGTCAGCCAGATCGGTTAATTTGCTGGTTCTGGGAAGGAAGTTATTGCAACAAGGAGCTGTAGTCATCTCTGGCTTCCTCCTAAGTGGTAGTATAGCAGGTCTAACCTTAGACCTGCCATCCCTGGTCTTTAATGTAGATAGCAAGTATCACCAGCATGGGGAGGTGGGCACAGAGAGATCTGGGTGACTATTTGAGCATACTGACTGTTGGGAAAGTAAAGCCTTACTCATAGTTACAAGAGTATTTTTAAATATACATGTTAGAAACACATTTTCTGTAACAAATGTAGGGAAATAAAACAGCAGTATAGTGGTTTCTCCTGATATAGGACAATATCCACTTGTGCGGCTATTCTGACATAACACAAACCATTCAGCTTTAGGAGGCAAATTGCTTGAAATAAACATTATCTGTTTTGTGCTGAATCATGCAACTCAGTACATAACAGGTAATGTTTATAGTTATTTTTTAAACTGTAGGTAGTTCGCCTCCAAAAGTTACAACATCATTAGCACTATGCCAGTGTAACCGCACAAAAGGATTTTGGTCATAACACAGTTTTGTGCAGTTTTTTCCCCATTGTGTGTAATTTCTCTTAATATGTGTATTTATCTGCACATTTGTTGGTTTTGGGAACTGCAGATTTAGTAAAATTCACATCGAAATGCAAGCCTAACAAAACGTTCAATCTAATGCCGCCTGCTGTTTTGGAATCCCAGCATTTCACTCATTTAATGGATGAGATTTAGTTTTAATGAGATGCACCATACCAAAGTTGGTTTTTAAAAAATTCTTAAAGAAAGTGCTTTTACTGCTTTATTTTTCAGATTTCATCAAGTCCTGTTCAGGACTTTTTTTAAAAAAAAAACTTGTGTTTAGTGGCCAGGAGCCTGCCTAGCATAAGCACAAACCGTAAACCCCCTACTGGTACCCTAATGTAGAATCTAGTCCTTATGACAACGGAAATCCCCTTTCCAATTGACTGAATTATGCTCATCCAAGCAGGTCCTGCTCTACCTCCATGAAAATGAAACTGCTCACACTATAATCATTGGGAAGTTGTTTTCCCCCCTTCACAAGAGTGTCAATGTGTTGAAGGTTAGCGATAGGGCTAAGAGTCAGTTTAAAATACTGTAGAACTGCTATATCTGTGGGATCAGTAGCTGCGGTTTTACTTATCTGCTGTCTGAAAATATTAAATAACACACACATACACACGAAACACACATTTTCAAGGTGTATTGTGATCACTAGCCACTAGAGGGAACCAGAGACTATGCACGCATGAAACACGCATTTTCAAGGTGTGTTATGATCACTAGCCACTAGAGGGAACGAGACTATGCAATATATAAGGTTTCTATACCTGCATTTTCTGGCATTTGCGGGAGTATGAATCAATCCCCTTACAGGCACGACAGTCCTACTGTATATATTCTGTATTACTTGAGTCCCTTGCGAATTCCAGTGTGCCCTGTGATATAAGGCCTACCTCTTAACAGTCAACATTTTCACTTGGTATAATCATTCACCAAAAAATAGTGTGGGACATTTTTATTCCAATATATTATATTGTTTGAGACAAAAGTGCCTGAATAGCCAAAAAAA